CCCCATTCAACAGCCAAACGCCAGCCCGCCGCTGTTCAACCCCCTCTGCAGTACCGATCCCTCCTCACTGCTCCGCTGCGTCTTGCTCTCCCCGCCCTTAGTCCCACAGACTCAGCCACCAAAAGCCCCCAACAAAACACCCCCCCCTGCTCCCCTCCCTAGCTCCCCTTCCCTTCCTCCTCGTCCCTCTCCCAATAATCCTAACCCATCACTCAACTACTGGCCATCCAATCAACAGCCATATCACCCTTCTTAACAGCTGAATACCAATCCGACCCATCCACCTCCATCAACGTATTACTCCACCCTTCCAGCCACCAACATACTAGAACACTACTCACCGCGCCTGTCCCATTAATGCCTACGATCCGATAGAATAATGCTGCCTTAATCTTCAGATTCTCTTAGGAATTATCAGTTAATCCTAGGCATCAGCTACACCTTCTTACGAAGATCTGATTCATCCGATCGAATGATCCGGCACGATCCGCCGAGTTTTTTTTTTTTTTTTTTTTTTTTTTTTTTTTTTTTTTTTAACAGTATTGGTAAGCGTGCTTTAGCCCTTGCAGTGAGTGCGGTACCTAGACTGTCAAACGAAACACACGATCCCCAGAAGGGAAGTGGAACCGCGGCCAAATTTGCCAACACAACAGTATCGAGATAAGCTCGGACAAGGGGAGGGAGGGGCCGTGTCTGCCAGAAAATGGGGATAACGTGAGTACTCTCCTCGATATTATTTGCCAAGAGACTGACAGTCCCACCAAAATTCCTCTTCAGACCAGGAATTGATAAGCGAATCTCCCTGTAATTGAGTCGTTTTCCCCCTCTTCTCTGAAGACAAAGTGGAAGCTCATCAAGTAATAAACACCACACTCTAGTAAGGGGAACACGATGGAGGGAATGGGGATCGAAACCCAGAATTGGTTGGCTGAACAAACAAAAACGGAATTGGTGAAGACGATCAGACTGGTCGAAGTGGAAGAAAACAAAAAGGAAGAGGTGGTGGTATATGAATACCCGAAAGAACAAATTCCAAAACTAGATGAATTCCATGAAAATCATGCGGTCCTTTTCACCTTCTCCCGAAAAAGCCAAGAGCTAAACTGCCCGGCCAAGCTCAAATGGATGTGGGAGAAGCTGAAAAGCCTGGAATCCATTCAGGGAACCGAGCCAAAAGTTTCTTTTCATCCACGGACCACAAATGTGATCATGGTCATATGCAGGGATCCAACTTACGCCGACTTCCTGAGAAACAAAACTTTCACTTGCAATTCCTCAATAGTCACAGTCCACCCCTGGAAACCGGACACCCCATTCCAGATGACTCCTTCCCGCTTCAGACAATCCTTGATGAAAACGTACTTCTGGATCCAGTTCGACAACGTGCTCGAAGGCTTGCATGGGGCAATCAAACAAAGACTCCAAGGCTTGCATGGGGGAATCAAACAGAGACTCCAATTGAAATACGGTCAATTCAAGGTAGTGGACTGGATCATAGCAACACCGGACTTTCTGGTCCCACAGCACAACACAATGACGGTGTGTCTGGATTTGGGTAATGGAATGCCGCCACAGCTACCCGATTACTGTTTTTTTGTAGTGAGAAACATAACAATCAAAGTGACAGTTTCTTCCAAAAGCAACCCATTATGTTTCAAATGCAGACAACGAGGACATTTGGGAACTGATCCGAGATGTCTGAAAAATGTGGAGACAGCCAAGCCCAAAGTCCTCAGATGAACAAGCCTGGCAGAAGTGGAAGGGGAACCATGTTTCCTGTACGTAAGAGATGCGCAGTACATCGGGTGGGTCTTCAATGACAACCTTCCAAATCCAGCCTGGGTCTGGGTATTGGAGGGAGAACCAACCCCAAGGCCAGATGTCTACCCCCCATCGGGCAACACATGGCATACCATGAAGTTAGAAAAAAAATCTGCGAAAATATTAATTAGGGATCCAGTTCTGAATATGCAAAGAATGCAAGAAGAGGGCTGCCTCAAGGATCTGATCACAGACCTGAACGAAACGGCGGAGATGGCAGAGAAAGAATGGCAAGAGAGGGGAAAGAGAAGATCGGAAGGGGAAATGAAAATAGAAATGGGAGAAAGCAGGGTACTATCAACATACACAAGGAGAGGAACACGAGCAAACCAATCTCAACAGCAAGAAGATACATCAGAGATGGAAATTGACAACTCAACAACGGGACAGGGAAACGAACAAGATGACCAACAGGATACGGGGGAGGATGGCAAAGTGAGCGTAGGCGAGAAACGAAAGAATCCAGAGGAACGTAAGGGGATCACAACCAAGAAGGTCCAAACGGAAGGAGGAGGAGAGATCAGAGAAGACAGGGA